GGCGTGCCAGCAAGCTGAGTGAAAACATGGAGCTTGTGCTAACAGAGCTGTTCAAGGATGCAAGAAGTGCACAATGCATCTCGAAGCAAAGGGCTCTCGGCTTGGCTAACGGCACCGTGACCAGCACCGACGAAGGATTTGGGGCAGAGCTCTTGCTGCTGTAAGCACAGCCGAGACAACTGCAGGCAGCCATTTTCCTTCGATGCGCTCCAGAATTGCCCGTGGCATCATTAGCTTCACAGTTAACCAAAATAATAATTTATGACTTTTTTCAGCTGCAGTCTAAACCTAGACTAGATCTGTCTTCAAAAGCATTCTAGTTTAAGCTCACACTTTAGTAAATCCTTAAAATAATTCATTTTTTATTTGTCAGTCTCCAAGATGAACACTGGTTTTCACCAGAACAAAGAGCCACCAAAAACTCAGACAGACCTATGCATGACCCGGTGGGGTCCATGGGAAGAAGGCATGACCCATAGGGATATCAAACAACGTGGGTCCAGCTTTGCCCCTTCCTTTATGGTACGTAAAGCCTGTATAATTCTCTAAGACCTGCATCCCTTTGTATGCTATCATTTAGTAAGGAACACTGAGAAATTAAATGTATTCAGCCAGGAAAGCAGTCTTTCCCAATGAGAAACAATTTTTCTCATCTCTGCCTTCCTTGCTCATGTTTTTCCCTCTTACGCGTTACGAAAAATTAAATTCCAAATTTAGATAAAAAATAACAGTATATTGCTGAATTACTGAGGACCGCATTCACTAGAGCATGAACAGCACAAGTCGACAAGAGCAACTGCTGCTTTACACCAGCTAAAGGGGTCACCATTTGTTTTTTATCTTGAAACTGATGTTTTTGCTCTTTAAGTATAAAAACATTAAAATGGAATCAGGCTCTCTAGCTGAAGTAAAAAAACAAAATCCAAGTCTTGTTAGAAAGGCCAAACTTCTTCCAAAATGCCCCTGATTTTGATTGATTTATATGCAAGACAAGTAGTTAAAACGGAAAAAAGAAAAAAGAAGAACAGACTCGCTGCTATTTTTCCACACAGTAAGACCCGCTGGGCAAACAAAACCATATTCATTATTTACCTTGGGGCAGGACCCAGAGTCCTTAACCAGGTTAAGGGCCCTATTGTGTTAATCTCTACATTAGTCCGACATAATGTGCACCGTATTTAAACAAAATAATGTCAATCCCTCCTTAGTAAGGGGGCTGCGTGTCAGGGGGGAAACGACGTGACACCAACCCCCTCCTCCCTACACACACACTGCGGTATAATCTGCCACCTCATATAAACGCTGCCATTTGTCTTTCCTTTAGATGCATTGCAGGAATATTTCCATATAAGCCCTATTATAATAAAAACGACAGTGTGACAAACAGCTTTGCAAATAGGTTTGCTGCTCCAACAAAGCACAGACGCAACACACTGACTTGCAGAAATACCCCATATAATTCACAAGTGCTACTAGTTGATTTGAAATCCAATAAATTTAGGTGTTCGCTTTATCTTCTCCATCACAGTACCTGCTTCCTTATACTGAGCTGAAGTAGAGCATGTGCTCTACTCCTGCAACCGCTCCCCCAATCCCTTCCTTCTCCTCCCCTCCAATTTACACTGATTACAGGTTTCAAAGTCTTCGAGATACATTTTTAAGTTCTACTTAAAATGTTGATTTTTACTTGTTTCCTTTTCATCTAGATCAATACTGCACAGATGATAAATACGTACTGTTTACCATTCATACTTTTTCATCTTGGCATTGAACATCCTAGAGTAAGCTTAAGAAAAATCAGTTCCTAGATAGCACTTTGTTTCTCCTCTCTAGCCTATTCCCTATTTTGTCTATAATACAATACACAAGCCTGAGCGCGTTCTACTAACGCAGATATCCATTATAACATTCAGGTATTAAGTGCAGCAGAAAGCAACTGCATCTCAAAACATTCACTGCTCATTTTAAAGTTTGTCTAATTTTATGATGAGACATCAGCGTATACATTATTCTTTGCAAAACGGTGCCCCAGCATTAGGACATTACCACATCAGTTTTCTATTCAGTCTTCACTGAGAGATGAGAAGCCACCATTTTCTTTTCGATACATACAAATTAAATTCTGTTTGTCTCTACAGCAACTGTAAACCAGAGAATTCTGCATTTCAGTGGTGATACTGTCACCTAGCATTAAAAACAAGCATTAATTTGTAAACGAACCTCCTCAATTGTGTTCAAAGGAAGTAATTTGGACTAACAAACCAGCACAAATATTAATTTTAGTATTTCTAAGGTACCTCACCACCATACAAAATTTCCCTCACACTGACGATCTCCTGCATCAGAACAATCAGACTCTCATACAACACAATTTTCAAAAGATTCAGGCTTACCAGAGTCTTGCACAAGCTACACAATTTATACAGTTTCAAAGTTAGCAAAACATAAATAGCTGCTTACACGTATCTGGAATTATTAGTCTTGATTTTAAATTTTAGAGCTTTGAAAAAATTAACAGCACCTCGCAAGTATCCTGCTTATGAACTGCTACAAATTCTTTAACAATCATGCAATATTTTCAGCATTTAAAAAAGCTCAAATACATTTTTCTAGCAAGAGCCTTATCTCATTGAAATAAGATTTTTAAACAATGCCTACATTTAGCTTACATAAAGCACTAGGTTTTCTGTAATTATCTAGTAATTCCAACTATTCAGTAATGCAGGAGACTTCGAGCACAGCTTAGGAACAGCAAGATTTGTATTCTCCAGTAACCTTGTGAAACTCTGGTGAAGTTAATTCACAGCACTGACAAGAAAAGAAACCTTTAAGACAGACAGGCAAAGCAGTTTCGCAGCTGTATACGGGGCTTGTCTTGCGCTCGAGGCTTTATTAATTTCAACAGGCACTATTCCACAAATAATCTTTCCAACTCTGAACAGCCACGCTGCGATAGGAACCACAGCAGCAAGAGTCACAGCTCTCCAGTAATGCACAAAAATCCCGACACACGGGCTGGGGACTGAAAGATACATTAATTGACTTCATTTTCCCATCTTTAAAAAGGTCAAGTGGGATGCTGATTGCCAGACAATCACTTTGTCTCAGACATTTTTAATAGACAAAAGGCTTACAGTTAGCACTGCATTGTGCCCCACCCAGCCGGCTGAGAATTGTCATCTTCTCACTCCATTAGGCTGTAGGGCTGTATTACGATTTTCTAATTAAGCATCCCCTCCGATGCCTCCCTCCCTGCCTTAAAAACTACTCTCTTGCCCTTCCCTCCACTCCCAAATATTCCTTTGGCAGGTCAGACACAAGGAGGAAAAAACCCATGAATGAAACAATGAAGGAACAGGATAGCACTGACCTTTTCCTGTAATAACGTCTCACATCTCTCCCTCCCTCGTTGGTTTCTTAAACTAGGAAACCAATTCTTTAAAAGGAAGAATTACCAGAAGGGGAAGAAAAACCTCCACCCCACAGCACCCACTCCCAAGCACCCACTCCCCCACAAAAACAGGCAAGCCTATATTCGTGAACTACTTTTCCCAAAAATATTTTGAGCACAGGGATTTCCCCTCCTGCCCCCGGCCACACACCTTTTTAAGAACACAGCCTGCATCAACCTCTCTATCTGTGTATGGCATATTGAATGTAGTGGCTAAAACAAGATTAAGTAAATATTATTGCTTCCTTTCCTTGCACCCTGCATATGTATTGACACTACTACACAAACGCACAGTATGTGTAAAGAATGTTATAAACTTTATACTTATGAAATCCAAGTTATAAGACCTTCAATAAACACGTGAATTTAACCCCCTAATCCCTGAGAATAGTAAATGACAAGTTTCTCATGAAGGAATGTCACATTTACTCCACCGCTATTTATGTGAATGATTTGAGGCAGCCGTACCTTAACACTGAAGCCCAAGCATACACTATGAGTAAATAGCCAAGACAGTGCTAAAATACAGAAAATATTTTTGTTTTCAAAACATTTTTGAGTGATATCATGTTCTCTAAGGTCTCATGTACTCAGTTTAATTAAAAAGAACTTGTAGCCCTCATCTATCTTAAAACGCAAGCCTGACTAAGACTAGGCAACACCAGTATTATGTTAGCACAAGTCAAAATGGAGCATCATTTAGCCTGATGTACTAAAGGGAAAATAATCAGGTAGGACACGGTTTTCACTGGAAGGCCCAATTCCCCCCTCCCTTCTATTTCTAAAACTGATCCCATGAGCATCTGTTATTTCTCCTCTCCACAGCATCTTTTTAAAACCTGTTTTACATCTCCAGACAGTCATCATGCATCTATGCAGTATTAAGAGTTTCCAGCAATGTGGACTTCTTTTCAAGTTAAAACGCAGGCATATTAAGAAGAATCATTACTTCTTATATTAATATTTCCCAGCATGTATTTAACAGAATCCTATTAACCCACAATTACTTAACCTGTGGTGAAATGCAGCCAACTCTTCCGTTCTGGAGAGGCATTTAATACGTAGACATTTCATGCTCGTAAGACGGTTTATATTCTTATCACACTCAAAGCACTATTTTCACATGCAATAAGTTGTATTTGTTACCATACCTTAGTTTTGCTTTGCGGTTTTCATCTATCATTGACTGTTGAGTAGTATTAATGAAATCCTTGGGGTACCCACCTTCCAACATTGCAATGGCTCAAGAGAGGCCGTAACATTGCCACAAATGAATTGAAATACATCTCATTCTTTCACAGGGGACAGGTGCTGGTGATGTGAGCACTGGAAATACAGGCAAATTCTTTCCTACTTGCTATTTTTTTTTGGTATGAAAAGCAGAATCTTCCAGATATTACCCATGATGCCTCCCAACCAAAAACATCTGCAATATGCTACGTTCCTCTTTTGTCGCAATCAACCCGCCTATTTACAGAGGGGGGAAGCAACCATTAATCTACCAAAATACACACACACAAAAACTCGTAGGAACACCTCTTGTACTTACACATTGCACTGAGCCGCACGCAGGAAGGTAGCTATGGCAGCGCCAGCCATGGTGAAGACCTGCAAGACCCAGGTATTTGTGAAGACGTTATTTGTTGGCTTCGCCATTTTCAGCCATAAAGCATCCCCCGCTTCCCCAGAACCACCTACGATTTTGCTAATGATGCTCTAATTTTAAATACAGTTCATGAAAGATGGGATAAGGAGAAACGTTCTAGGTATTTTAACCTCTTGATGTTACAGCTGTAATAGAAGAACATTTAAGAAACACCTGAAATGCATGTTCATAAATAACTATTTCCTTCTTGCTAACGCAGCAAGGGGGAAAAACAAAAAAACCCCAAGCAAGCCTTCCTGCCATGCGTTTCACACCTTCAGGAGGCAATATCCCTGCTTGGTGAGGACAAACGGCAGGACATGCAAGGTGATGTCTGAAATCAAAGTCTCCTCAAACACTCTTTTTCCTCTTCTCCCTCCAAGCAGCATGCCCCTTCTCAGCTGATTTTGTGTGTGACTGGTCTAGTTTGTTCGAAAACAAGCAGAACCCACCCGGCTGCGTGAAGCGTGTCCACGCCCATGCTACCAGGAGAGCCAAGGCTCTACTGCAGGAGGAGAGGGCTTGTGAACAGGGAGCATCGTCCGCTACTGCCGTTTCAAACTTCCTCCGGGTTGTAGCAACCTGCATTTCTCAAAACCACTCGGGCAGAAGCAGCACAGCCAAGGTGTTTTCTGGCGGTTCCCCACGAACGGCCGCACCGAAGCTGGAGCTCGGTCACCGAACAATGACTGCACGAGGGCAGCCGAGCTCTCCTCCTCCTCCTCCTCCCGCACACACGCTGCCATGGCGCCCAG